GCATATTTATAAAGGAAGACCAGTAAAAATATCTGCAAATGTTGCATCTTTTTTTTTTACAAAAAAATCCATATGAAAGTTTTGACACTATATTTTAAATTCTATTATAAAATAGATTAAGTTAGCACTATGGTAAATTTAAATGGGTAATTATAGTTGCAAACTCCATTGGAAATTTGAAATTATGACCATATCTTGAGGGAAAGAATTTTTTGGGGGAAAAAGGGGGGGGGGAGTAAAAAGAAAATGTGGGGGGTCAATTTTTTCTCATTTCAGATTTCAGAAATTAAAAATAATTCTTCATCAAATATTTTTTTTTTCAAATTTCAAGAAGTAATCTTTAATTGCACAGTATGGCGCATTAGATTGATAAAATCTTTGACCACATTTATTTATTTGTTATGCCGATTCTAACCGTGTATTTAGATTTTTAATTTTGGGTCCAGTTTTCAAATTGGTCTACATTAAGGTCCAAAGGGTCCAAAATTAAACTTAGTTTGATTTTAACAACAATTGAATTCTTGGGGTTCTTTGATATGCTGAATCTAAACATGTGTTTAAATTTTTGATTATGGGCCCAGTTTTCAAGTTGGTCCAAGTTGGGGTCCAAAATTAAACTTTGTTTGATTTCAACAAAATTTGAATATATGGGGTTCTTTGATATGCTGAATCTAAACATGTATTTAGATTTTCGATTTTTGGCCCAGTTTTCAAGTTGGTCCAAATTGGGGTCCAAAATTAAACTTTGTTTGATTAAAACAAAAATTGAATATATGGGGTTCTTTGATATGCTGAATCTAACCAAGTATTTAGATTTTTTATTTGTGGGCCCCGCTATCAAATTGGTTCATATTGAGGTCAAAAGGGTCCAAAATTAAACTTTGTTTGATTTCATCAAAAATTGAATTATTGGGGTCCTTTGATATCCCAAATCTAACCGTGTTTTTAGATTTTTAATTTTGGGGCTCGTTTTTTAAATTGGTCTACGTTAAGGTCCAAAGGGTCCAACATTAAACTAAGTTTGATTTAAACAAAAATTGAATTCTTGGGGTTCTTTGATATGCTGAATCTAAACATGTGTTTAGATTTTTGATTATGGGCCGAGTTTTCAAGTTGGTCCAAGTTTGGGTCCAAAATTAAACTTTGTTTGATTTCAACAAAAATTGAATATATGGGGTTCTTTGATATGCTGAATCTAACCATGTATTTAGATTTTTTATTTGTGGGCCCCGCTATCAAATTGGTTCATATCGAGGTCAAAAGGGTCCAAAATTAAATTTAGTTTGATTTTAACAAAAATTGAATTCTTGGGGTTCTTTGATATGCTGAATTTAAACATGTGTTTAGATTTTTGATTATGGGCCCAGTTTTCAAGTTTGTCCAAGTTGGGGTCCAAAATTAAACTTTGTTTGATTTCAACAAAAATTGAATATATGGGGTTCTTTGATATGCTGAATCTAACCATGTATTTTGATTTTGGATATTGGACCATAATAGGTAAATTTCAAAAAATCAAGTTCTTAGACCACATTCTTTCTGTGTCAGAAACCTATGCTGTCAAATATTTAATCACAATCCAAATTCAGAGCTGTATCAAGCTTGAATGTTGTGTCCATACTTGCCCCAACTGTTCAGGGTTCGACCTCTGTGGTCGTATCAAGCTGCGCCCAGCGAAACATTTTATTTCATATAAGAATATTCTGTTTTCAAGCTTAATTTGGGGTATGGAATGAATGTAAGGTGTACATGTCCAACTGGACGAGGTTCATCTTGACTTCATTTTCATGGATCATTGGTCAACATTAGTTTTTATTAAATTAAGTTCTTTTCTCAGATTCTAAGAGTATCAGCAATAGGTCAACGACATTTGGTGTGGGAAAAGATTGTAAAGTGAACATGAAGGTCTGACAGGGTTCACCTGACTTCAACTTCGTTACATGGATAAGTTTTCAAAGTTAGTGGAAAAGAAAATAAATGATATAGTGTATCAATTCATGACACAAAATCACTACAAGCACATGAAACCAAACAGAGAAAAAGGAACCGGTTAGTGCGTTCATTGCTGTTCTTCATTGGTCCAAGTTAAGTTTTCTTGATTAGTATAAAAAAGAAGATGTGGTATGATTGCCAATGAGACAACTCTCCACAAGAGACCAAATGACACAGAAATTAACAGCTATAGGTCACCGTACGGCCTTCATCAATGAGCAAAGCCCATACCGCATAGTCAGCTATAAAAGGTCCCGAAATCACAAATGTAAAACAATTCAAACGAGAAAACTATTAATGTACAAAAAAAAATGAACGAAAATCATACTAAGACAGTTCAAGGGAAAAACAAATAAATAACAAAACTTGATTAAACTTCAGTATGGCTCGAAACATAGTAAGTAAGTAAGTAAATTTTATTTAAAGTCGGCATATATGTACACAATAACATAGAAAACATGAGCTCTAGTGAGCTCTTTATCCGACTATAAGCTATACTGAGCTTTTGGCCATCAAAAAAGAATATGTGTATAAACAAATGGATTTGGAGAACATCATAGCTTTTCACTAGCTAAATTTGTGTTATAAATCATAACATGTATTACAGTGTATATATACTATATTTAAATATCTATTGCTGAAAACTATAAGTTGACCTATAGATTTTCTTTGCTTTTTACTTTCATTTTGGTTGCTGTCTTTACATACATCCCTAATCTTATTTATATATACATGTGGTACTGAGTAATTGCCTTGGTTTTCTACACATTCTGTCTTACCAGGACCTTCTATAGCTTACTACACGGTTTTGGGTTTTCTCATCGTTAAAGGTACCAGGGCCTTCTATAGCTTACTTCACGGTTTTGGGTTTTCTCATCGTTAAAGGTACCAGGGCCTTCTATAGCTTACTACACGGTTTGGGGTTTTCTCATCGTTAAAGGTACCAGTGCCTTCTATAGCTTACTACACGGTTATGGGTTTTCTCATCGTTAAAGGTAAGCGATGTACAGTTGACGTTTAATTGTATTTGTCCTTCTGGCTTTATGGATGATTGTCTCATTGGCAACTAAACCACATCTCATTTTTTTTTATATGTATTTAAGGTTATTTCTAATACAATGTTAGACTCTAGACTTAAAAAAATGATCCGGAAACATTTAACTATGACCTTGACCTTAAACATAGTATAGGACTCTTCATCTCATAATTTATATGTGACCCATTCCCGGAAAGGTTGTAATCTGATATAAAGTATTTGATTTAGCCGGATTCCAAGATGACTGACGTTCAATAATCATAAAAGTAATATATAAAGATACAAAAAATAATAATAATATGTAGGTTTATTGCATGAATATTGGTGAATATTGTCCGGAATAGATTTTGTTTTATATTCGGCACGAGTTTACGAGTGCAATATTATATTAGAAGGGATACTATTCACCAATATTCAAGCAATTTCCCTTTAATTGTATAGCAAAGCTTGAAAATATGTTTAAAACATATTTTTGTCACTGACGACGGCTATCATTTGAAGCCATATCTGCACCAAGTGCAGTAACATAAATTATTATATGACTATACAATTTCTCTTTTCTCATTGGCTAAAAGCATAGGGAATCTTCTTTGAAAAAACATCATATTCACCGCTGGAAAAATCATGAGAGGTTAATATAATTTGGAACATCTATGTGTACTAAATAGTTATTTTCCTAGGCAATGTCAATGAAGTAGGTTTATGACGTCATACAAATTCTCGTTTTACTTCTCCTTTTTGGTGCTAAAAAAATTTGTAAATTTTATTGTAAACTATTATTTTAACTTAATTTAAAGTTAGCACTGCCAAAGCAGATAATATATAGTTAGTATCAAAACATGGAGAAGTTAGATATCTTTCGTCAAGAGCAAATACTAAGAGCAGATGGATAAAAAGTCATATAATAAAACAATTGTTGACTTTTGATGTCAGTTGATACAATGATATCAACCCCAGAGATATGTCATTTACCCTCGGCGGCCGTTGGCCCTAGTGGATATCATATCTCTGGTGTTTATATATCATTGTATCAACCTCATCAAAAGTCAATAATTGTAAAATATTGCGCAACAACTTTTCGTTACGCTCTGTGGGATATTTTACGTTGCTATACAATAATAGAATAATTATGATGAATTACAGAAACAAATAGTTATATCGTGGAATTTCTATATTTATGATATAATACATCAATGGTTTTAATGATAGACAAACCCTAAAATTCTCAAAATATTTTTGTATAATGATAACAAAGAACCCGCAAAAAAAACAAAAATAAAAAATGTGAAATGTATTGCCAAAATGTATCAACCAAATAATGATAAACAAATTCCTAATTACTGATTACCTTGCTATAGACAGCGTTTTGGTGGTTCTGGAGAAGAGGAACCTTAAGGGATCCTGTACTGGAAATCAACTATAAGTAACTATAAGTTAGTTAGTAACCTGCAGTACTGGTCATGTTATGTCTAATTAAATGTCAAAACGAAGACAAGCTCATATGGCCCGAGAACAGTTATTTCGTAGTGCTTTTTTTAGACAATGAATTCAAATTAAAAAAAATCGCACCTGCTCTATCTCAAAAAGATTTTTACAGTGTATTGTACTACTTTTGGGACAAATAATATTAAAGTTATAGAAAAGTCTACCAGCTCTAACTCAAAATATGGACAATTCTATGTTAACGGGGTCTATAATTCAGTTTGACAGCTTCAGACATACTATTTTTTTACCTTTTTTAACTGGACCGAATCACTACTTTAGATAAAAATTCAGCACCCAATTTTTTTTAACGTGTAATTTCATCCCTTACTTAATAGTTCATGCATAAAATATAAAGAAATACATTTGGAAAGTGTATGAAAAAAAATTGCAAGTTATACACTGTCCACACAAGGGACTATATTTGTAAAATCAAAGGACAATAATTGCGTCCTCGGACTATATACGATCCTAGGTTCTAAAAATTGTCGCCTTAGAAATTATCATCATATATTTATATGTACAATTATATTAGCGCTGTATTAATTAATTTTCTTCAATGCTTTTATTTTTCTTCCTTTTTGCAATTAATTGTTCTATGCTTCTAAAAATTACGTTTGAATCCATAATAATTATAAAACCAGCAATTACAACTAAAATAACAATACCTAAAGACCCTACCGCTTTAGCCGATGGTCTACTATCAACCGCACTTATTAACTTTCGCTTTGCCAATGACGTTGCTTTTGGATCTATTTTTATTTCTGAAATAATTTTTTCTATTTTCTCTTTGAGTTCTGCATCTGTCAGAACAAGATATCCCCCACTGTTACACGGACAATAACATGTATTGTTTGAATTAGAGGGTGAACTGGTAGACTCTGAAATAGAGTTTCCTGATGTTGACCCTAATTTTGTGGTTGTTGTAGCACTGTCTATAGTTGTTGGAACAGCTGTTGTGATTGTTTCCGTGGTTGTTGGAACAGCTGTTGTGATTGTTTCCGTGGTTGTTGGAACAGCTGTTGTAATTGTTTCCGTGGTTGTTGGAACAGCTGTTGTAATTGTTTCCGTGGTTGTTGGAACAGCTGTTGTAATTGTTTCCGTGGTTGTTGGAACAGCTGTTGTAATTGTTTCCGTGGTTGTTGGAACAGCTGTTGTAATTGTTTCCGTGGTTGTTGGAACAGTTGTAGTCATGGTTTCGGTGGTAGTGACAATTTCCGTTGTTGTTTCTTGTGTTGGATCAATACATTGTGTTCTGGGAATTGCTGCTGTGTGGTCCAAATCATGGCATGTCCAGTCTTGTGGAGGATCTGGACAATTTCCATTTGTTATGTCCGCTGTTTAAGTAATGTAAATAGTATTATTAATAATAAAAAAAATTAAAATAATTATTAAATCGATATCAATCCTCTGTTTTATGAGACTCCACAGACGGTGTCAGTCTTGGTGATTTTAATCTGCAAACAAATTATTTTATTCGACTGGTCAATAAATAATATTTTTAGGAGAGTCAGATATCAGCTTGGTTTATTTAATTTCAATACAGAAGTATACAAAAACGAACCTTTATCATTATTAAAGAATTGAATAATGAGAGTTGATATCAATCGATATTCAATTCTCGTGGTAGGTATAGTGTCCGGCTTGGATCGTGTTTTTTCGAGTATAAAATTGATGGGTTTTTTTTAGTGAATTTGATGCAATATATATACGGAAAGATGTGAAACCAAAACTTAATATATTTTCAATTTAGACTTGTTTATATTTTTTCGTTTGGGCTTGTATTATATTTGCCTTCGGGTTTATATGATCCGTTCATCCTATTTTGACTCTTTCAAAATTCAAGAGTCTATCCTAAATTGAGGTAAATTATATGGCCTTCCAAATACCTTTTCGATTCCTAACATCACTGAAGAGACATTAATTGTCGAAATCCGGATATGGTGTACAAAAACCTTTGCACCTTTTGTTTGCGGTATACCATCTTTTCCGCAAGTTTATTGTTTTCTGTTTAGTACTAAATTTATAATTGAGATCCATTTATTACATCGGTGATCCGTTTATTTGGCAATCGCCAATGGCAGTCAGCAGGGTTTAAGGACATCAGTTGTTCGACCTGCTAGTCAAATGCGTTTTGTTAAAATATACCTTTTCACTCATTTGATCTTTTGGAAAATGTTGTTTGTGCTTTATTTAGACCCCTCTACCAAGAAATTTGTTTTGCATGCACACGTATAAAAATTGCGGTTTTTATCCAACGCAATCATAGGATAGAACGTTGTTTTCAATTTAGACTTGTTTATATTTTTTCGTTTGGGCTTGTAATATATTTGCCTTCGGGTTTATATGATCCGTTCATCCTATTTTGACTCTTTCAAAATTCAAGAGTCTATCCTAAATTGAGGTAAATTATATGGCCTTCCAAATACCTTTTCGATTCCTAACATCACTGAAGAGACATTAATTGTCGAAATCCGGATATGGTGTACAAAAACCTTTGCACCTTTTGTTTGCGGTATACCATCTTTTCCGCAAGTTTATTGTTTTCTGTTTAGTACTAAATTTATAATTGAGATCCATTTATTACATCGGTGATCCGTTTATTTGGCAATCGCCAATGGCAGTCAGCAGGGTTTAAGGACATCAGTTGTTCGACCTGCTAGTCAAATGCGTTTTGTTAAAATAGACTTTTTCACTCATTTGATCTTTTGGAAAATGTTGTTTGTGCTTTATTTAGACCCCTCTACCAAGAAATTTGTTTTGCATGCACACGTATAAAAATTGCGGTTTTTATCCAACGCAATCATAGGATAGAACGTTGTTTTCAATTTAGACTTGTTTATATTTTTTCGTTTGGGCTTGTATTATATTTGCCTTCGGGTTTATATGATCCGTTCATCCTATTTTGACTCTTTCAAAATTCAAGAGTCTATCCTAAATTGAGGTAAATTATATGGCCTTCCAAATACCTTTTCGATTCCTAACATCACTGAAGAGACATTAATTGTCGAAATCCGGATATGGTGTACAAAAACCTTTGCACCTTTTGTTTGCGGTATACCATCTTTTCCGCAAGTTTATTGTTTTCTGTTTAGTACTAAATTTATAATTGAGATCCATTTATTACATCGGTGATCCGTTTATTTGGCAATCGCCAATGGCAGTCAGCAGGGTTTAAGGACATCAGTTGGTCGACCTGCTAGTCAAATGCGTTTTGTTAAAATATACTTTTTCACTCATTTGATCTTTTGGAAAATGTTGTTTGTGCTTTATTTAGACCCCTCTACCAAGAAATTTGTTTTGCATGCACACGTATAAAAATTGCGGTTTTTATCCAACGCAATCATAGGATAGAACGTTGTTTTCAATTTAGACTTGTTTATATTTTTTCGTTTGGGCTTGTATTATATTTGCCTTCGGGTTTATATGATCCGTTCATCCTATTTTGACTCTTTCAAAATTCAAGAGTCTATCCTAAATTGAGGTAAATTATATGGCCTTCCAAATACCTTTTCGATTCCTAACATCACTGAAGAGACATTAATTGTCGAAATCCGGATATGGTGTACAAAAACCTTTGCACCTTTTGTTTGCGGTATACCATCTTTTCCGCAAGTTTATTGTTTTCTGTTTAGTACTAAATTTATAATTGAGATCCATTTATTACATCGGTGATCCGTTTATTTGGCAATCGCCAATGGCAGTCAGCAGGGTTTAAGGACATCAGTTGTTCGACCTGCTAGTCAAATGCGTTTTGTTAAAATATACCTTTTCACTCATTTGATCTTTTGGAAAATGTTGTTTGTGCTTTATTTAGACCCCTCTACCAAGAAATTTGTTTTGCATGCACACGTATAAAAATTGCGGTTTTTATCCAACGCAATCATAGGATAGAACGTTGTTTTCAATTTAGACTTGTTTATATTTTTTCGTTTGGGCTTGTATTATATTTGCCTTCGGGTTTATATGATCCGTTCATCCTATTTTGACTCTTTCAAAATTCAAGAGTCTATCCTAAATTGAGGTAAATTATATGGCCTTCCAAATACCTTTTCGATTCCTAACATCACTGAAGAGACATTAATTGTCGAAATCCGGATATGGTGTACAAAAACCTTTGCACCTTTTGTTTGCGGTATACCATCTTTTCCGCAAGTTTATTGTTTTCTGTTTAGTACTAAATTTATAATTGAGATCCATTTATTACATCGGTGATCCGTTTATTTGGCAATCGCCAATGGCAGTCAGCAGGGTTTAAGGACATCAGTTGTTCGACCTGCTAGTCAAATGCGGTTTGTTAAAATATACTTTTTCACTCATTTGATCTTTTGGAAAATGTTGTTTGTGCTTTATTTAGACCCCTCTACCAAGAAATTTGTTTTGCATGCACACGTATAAAAATTGCGGTTTTTATCCAACGCAATCATAGGATAGAACGTTGTTTTCAATTTAGACTTGTTTATATTTTTTCGTTTGGGCTTGTATTATATTTGCCTTCGGGCTTATATGATCCGTTCATCCTATTTTGACTCTTTCAAAATTCAAGAGTCTATCCTAAATTGAGGTACATTATATGGCCTTCCAAATACCTTTTCGATTCCTAACATCACTGAAGAGACATTAATTGTCGAAATCCGGATATGGTGTACAAAAACCTTTGCACCTTTTGTTTGCGGTATACCATCTTTTCCGCAAGTTTATTGTTTTCTGTTTAGTACTAAATTTATAATTGAGATCCATTTATTACATCGGTGATCCGTTTATTTGGCAATCGCCAATGGCAGTCAGCAGGGTTTAAGGACATCAGTTGGTCGACCTGCTAGTCAAATGCGTTTTGTTAAAATATACTTTTTCACTCATTTGATCTTTTGGAAAATGTTGTTTGTGCTTTATTTAGACCCCTCTACCAAGAAATTTGTTTTGCATGCACACGTATAAAAATTGCGGTTTTTATCCAACGCAATCATAGGATAGAACGTTGTTTTCAATTTAGACTTGTTTATATTTTTTCGTTTGGACTTGTATTATATTTGCCTTCGGATTTATATGATCCGTTCATCCTATTTTGACTCTTTCAAAATTCAAGAGTCTATCCTAAATTGAGGTAAATTATATGGCCTTCCAAATACCTTTTCGATTCCTAACATCACTGAAGAGACATTAATTGTCGAAATCCGGATATGGTGTACAAAAACCTTTGCACCTTTTGTTTGCGGTATACCATCTTTTCCGCAAGTTTATTGTTTTCTGTTTAGTACTAAATTTATAATTGAGATCCATTTATTACATCGGTGATCCGTCTATTTGGCAATCGCCAATGGCAGTCAGCAGGGATTAAGGACATCAGTTGTTCGACCTGCTAGTCAAATGCGTTTTGTTAAAATAGACTTTTTCACTCATTTGATCTTTTGGAAAATGTTGTTTGTGCTTTATTTAGACCCCTCTACCAAGAAATTTGTTTTGCATGCACACGTATAAAAATTGCGGTTTTTATCCAACGCAATCATAGGATAGAACGTTGTTTTCAATTTAGACTTGTTTATATTTTTTCGTTTGGGCTTGTAATATATTTGCCTTCGGTTTTATATGATCCGTTCATCCTATTTTGACTCTTTCAAAATTCAAGAGTCTATCCTAAATTGAGGTAAATTATATGGCCTTCCAAATACCTTTTCGATTCCTAACATCACTGAAGAGACATTAATTGTCGAAATCCGGATATGGTGTACAAAAACCTTTGCACCTTTTGTTTGCGGTATACCATCTTTTCCGCAAGTTTATTGTTTTCTGTTTAGTACTAAATTTATAATTGAGATCCATTTATTACATCGGTGATCCGTTTATTTGGCAATCGCCAATGGCAGTCAGCAGGGTTTAAGGACATCAGTTGTTCGACCTGCTAGTCAAATGCGTTTTGTTAAAATAGACTTTTTCACTCATTTGATCTTTTGGAAAATGTTGTTTGTGCTTTATTTAGACCCCTCTACCAAGAAATTTTTTTGCATGCACACGTATTAAAATTGCGGTTTTTATCCAACGCAATCATAGGATAGAACGTTGTTTTCAATTTAGACTTGTTTATATTTTTTCGTTTGGGCTTGTATTATATTTGCCTTCGGGTTTATATGATCCGTTCATCCTATTTTGACTCTTTCAAAATTCAAGAGTCTATCCTAAATTGAGGTAAATTATATGGCCTTCCAAATACCTTTTCGATTCCTAACATCACTGAAGAGACATTAATTGTCGAAATCCGGATATGGTGTACAAAAACCTTTGCACCTTTTGTTTGCGGTATACCATCTTTTCCGCAAGTTTATTGTTTTCTGTTTAGTAC